ATCCACCCCAGACTGTGCCTGAGCTGCTCAGGACACATTGCAGAGGCTGAATTTTTGCTGTAGTGTGGGATGGGTGTAGCGAGCCTGTTTGCTTGGCTGCCACCAGTGAGCAGGATTGCTGCAGGCCTGGGGTGGGTTTTTTTAGGTGTAGCTCTCTTTTTATTTTTAACCTAGCAAGGAGAAATACCAAATCCACCCCAGACTGTGCCTGAGCTGCTCAGGACACATTGCAGAGGCTGAATTTTTGCTGTAGTGTGGGATTTTTTGGGTGTAGCTCTTTTCTTTTGAAGCCAACAAGGAGAAACACCAAATCCACCCCCAGCTGCTCCTGAGCTGCTCTGGACAAATACTGAATCCATCCCAGGTTGTGCTTAAGCTGCTCAGGAGAAGTATTGAATCCATCAGGATGGACCTGAGCTATTCAGGACACATTGCAGAGGCTGAATTTTTGCTGTAGTATGTTTTTTTTGGGTGTAGCTCTTTTATTTTGAAGCCAACAAGGAGAAACACCAAATCCACCCCCAGCTGTACCTGAGCTGTTCAGGAGAAACACTGAACCCATCCCAGGCTGTGCTTAAGCTGCTCAGGAGAAACTCTGAATCCATCAGGATGGACCTGAGCAGCTACTCAGAACACATTGCACAGGCTGACATTTTGCTGTAGTGTGTTTTTTTGGGTGTAGCTCTTTTATTTTGAAGCCAACCAGGAGAAGCACCAAATCCACCCCAGGCTGTTCCTGAGCTGCTCAGGACCCACATCAGAGGCTGATTTTGCTGTAGCAGTCAATCTCAGTTCCCAGAAGGACAACACCCATGGGACCAGCAGAGGAAGCAGTGCAGGACCCAGAGCACAGCCCAGCAGCAAGGGGAACCTGAGAGCAGTGCACATATGGCTCTGCCTGTCTGACAGCAACAGGAATTTCCCAAACTAGGCCTCAAAAACCCCAAGATTTCCAGGAAATAAAATAAAATAAAAGTAGCCTCTTACAGATGTAATTGTTAGTATTCGTATTGCTATTTTTTTTAAGGAGTCCAATGATATCTGATTTGTACAGAAGATCTGTTTGTGCCTTATCAGGTGTCTGTGCACTTTTTAAGCCTTTTTAAAGCAACTTTTAAAAAGAGAGAAAAAAATAAATTGGGGGGTGGGGAGAAAAACAACACAGATCAATGGTAGTTTTATAGAACTTTGTGTTCACTGAGAATCCTGCTTTTTATATATATATATATATATAGGAGTGAAAAAGTGTTTCTTTCATGGCTTTTCCCCCCTCTCTCCTCCTTAACCTCTTTGTGGCCATTAGAACTACAGGAAGAGATGAGTTGGGGGAACTCTTTTATCTTCCAGTTACTCTCTTGTCGTTACCTTGCTGATTCAATACTGTGACCTGTACATCATGTTGAAGCTGACTGAGATTTTTTTTTTTTGGGGGGTTAGGGCTGGGGAGGGCAGCGCACGAGGGAGGGAGCTGCACTTGTACATGTCAGTGCTCTGTAGCGTTGTGGGAAGTGCTGTGTGTTTTACTTTTGTCCATTTACCTGTTTTACATGAATATAATTTGACTTGTTTAGGAAAAAAAACCAACCAATAAACCTTTGCTTTGTTTGACTGTTTGTGTCCGGGGAGGGGTGGGGAGTGAGGATGGGTCTGGAGTGCAAAGCAAAAAAGGTTTGCGACTTCCCATCCCAAACAAGTGGTTCTGCTGCTAGGGCAGCCTCGGCAAAACCCCTTCCCTTCCCCTTCCCCTTTCCCATTCCTGGCAGCACCACAGCCAGACCACAAAGTCAAACCTCAGCCCTCCCAGTCAGAGCTGAGTATGCTCACACAGCCTACACGTGTTTGAGTGGCTTCACAGGTGACTCTATTTACACCAAAGACTCTTAGTAATCACACACAGAGTCACTAGGCTGCTTGAAACCAGTCAAGCAGTTTCATTTTATTTCATAAAAAAACCAACTAAAAAACCCCAACCCCTTTGAATAAAAACCAAATCCATCCCCTAAAGGTGAACATATAGCTAGGGCATGTACACAGCTACATCTATATCTTCCTCTGCCCCCACCCACCCACAGTACTGTAGATCTATACACACTTAGAGAATATAGTGAGACATGGACAAACAAAGGGGCTGGGCAAGGCTTTGAGGAGAGAGGCAGGGCCAGGGATGCCCCATGGCATGGCCTCAACACCCACCTTGGGGCTCCACCCCATGGTGTTCCCCTCCTTGCTGCACACCCTGACCTCAGGGCTGTGCTGGGAGGGTGGTTGAGCTTTGGCTGATGGGCTGATGT